GTTCCGCTGCCCGGGCAAAATTTCCCTCATAGCACACTGTATGGCGTAGGCGTATGCCCGTCTTCATTAGCCCAGTCAGAGCAGAACAGAAGGATGTTAAACCCCACTTCATTTCATGTCATTTCCTTTCAATTGCCAGAACATTAGGACGTTAAACCCCATTTCATTTCATTTCATTTCCTTTGCTACATGTTACAACTAACGCCATTATGCTTTTAACAGTGACGAGTTGCACCTGGCTCAAACATTCTTTAAATATTTCACTCCTCGTTGTTTGTGATAAATACGTGATGAACAAACCTACATCCAGATATTACTTATATAAAACATCATATCCGATTATATAAAACACAACGAAGGTTTTGTAAAGAAACGTCTTCGGTGTGCTTTTAAAAAAAAAACATGAATTAAGATTTGACTGATATAAACGCACTGATGAGTACATGGCTATATACGGTGGCGGACGCAGCACGCAAGATATTTGAGTGAATTGGGTGGGGTGGGGTGTCTATCTTCCGATAATCGGATGCCATTGATGATACCTGGGCCCTGTTTCTCGAAATTTTAACTAAAGATAAAATCCAATTTTAGTAGATACTTCAATTTTGATTGGCTAAGCACTAAAATCAATCTAATATTATCCAATCAAATTACTAAAATTTGGATTTTATCTTAGTTAAAATTTCGTGAAACAGGCCCCTGAACCTGAATATAACATTTGATTACAATAGTTATCATCACCAGAACCAACAAAACAACCATTTACAATTACATGTTTCATGGGGGGGGGGGGGTGTGGACGGTCGAATGGTTAGCACGTACGCGCTGTATCATAAGGTCTGTCATTGAGTCAACTGGCGTGGTTTCGATTCCAAGGTTGTACGTGACAAGGAGTAGGGTCGCCTGTCCAATATCGTGAGTTTTCTCAGGGTCCTCCGGTTTCCTCCCACTGCTAAAGACCCCTACGCGCAAGCCAATTATTGAAATAAAATTGAACCATGTGTTAGTCCCGAAATGACGAGTAGACGTTGAACCTTATCTCTCTCTCTCTCTCTCTCTCTCTCTCTCTCCCTCTCTCTCTTACATGTTTAAAAACAGAATAATAAATGGATATTTTATACTGATATTTAATACACCGCCCACCGGGATCCGCCATTGAATTTAAGCTTTGTAAAAAAAGAAATATGGGATTTTAAAACATTTTTTAAATGTTGTTAATTTCTTCAAACAGTTCTGTTTATAGTATATATAGAACATCTACGATATGAAAGTAATAAATTATAATATATATTTTTTAACCAGGAAATATTTGCATTGTGTATTTTTAATGTAATACGTGTATACAAGTTTAATCTTGTTTGAAGTATATTGATATCCATTCATTCCTTATCACAAGATATTATATGATATAATATAACATACAGAAAGTCATGAACAATAATAACTGCCGGCGCTCCTAGTGACGGACAATATATATAATCATGATTTTAGCCGACACGGAAATATTTGAGTTTTTAATGTCGACTTGTAGGAAGTATTCTATCCGAGTTATTTTGGGTGGACAGGCATTGTAAAAGATCGTCCCAACATTATGTGTGGTTTTTTTTTCGCTAATGGATACGATGTAGCTGAGAAAGGGGCGTAACTGGATGTTGTAAATATGTTTTCTAGTAAGTTACCATGTTTTAAGTCTAATTTATAAAACAACAAGAGATAGGCCTAGTCCTGACCTGTTACCAGTGATTCTAGGAGGCACTTTCCGCTTACAGACATACACATTACATTATTTCTTTCTATCTTTTAAATGAAAATGAAATGAAATGGGGTTTAACGTCCTACTGTTCTGCTCCGAACTGGGCTAATGAAGACGGGCATACGCCATACAGTTTGCTATGAGGAAAATTTTCCCCGGGCAGCGGCACTACGGCCTACTCTTATATCAAATTCCAACTGTCAAGGAATCTTTTACGCGCACGCCAATGTGTGCACGGGACCTCGGTTTTTGTCCCATCCAAACGACTAGACAGTTGTCCTTGTCAGGCCCTCCGTCCTGCATCGCTGACAAGGGGGAAACCACGCCGGAAAATCTGAATGAACTTTCTCAGCCAATGCAGGGATCGAACACCTGACCTCCGAGCTAGCGAGCCAGCGTCTTAGCTACTTAGTCACCGCTACCCCTTCCATCTTTTAAAGATAGAGAGAGAAATGGAGTTTAACGTCCACTCGACACAAACTAGGTCATTTCGGGACTAACATATGGTTTAATTTTATTTCAATAATTCGCTTGCGCGTAGGGGTCTTTAGCAGTAGGAGGAAACCGGAGGACCCGGAGAAAACCCACGAGGTTGGACAGGCGACCCTACTCCTTGTCACGACAAACCGGGGATTCGAAACCACGCCAGTTGTCCATCATTTAAAACAATAATTGATATATTTTAAAATAAATGAAATGGGGATTAACGTCCTACTTTTCTCATGCACCCAAGTTAATGAAGACGGACATGCGCAACTATCAAGGATTCTTTTACGTGCACGGAACATTGCAGTCAAGAATTAGTTAATCTACCGCTCGACCTGGCATCGCTGCTCCAATATAGAGAACTTTGCGGTCATAAAGAAATCAGAGTGAAAAAAACCCCTCCAAACTATTCGATATAAGGCACGCAATTTCCAATAAACCCAATTCCTATCAAGAATAAAGCGTTGGATAAACAATTATTATTCAAAAATACCGAAAAATAAATTGTAAAAGAGTTAAATGAAGGCAGTTGTTTTCCAAACAATTTTGTGTCCGATTTCAATTCACAGCCGTTTGACAGTCATAATAGCAAATCGAGTCGTTCCGGAGTAAAGTAATAGCAAACTATATTATTTTTTACTATGAACAAGTATAATTATATAACAATTAAAACGACCTAAATATATAACGTTAATTTGTTTGTGGGTGGGTTCGTTATAAGAAACAAAACGGTTGTTTTTATAATGTTTAAAATAACGTCATATTAACCAGACTGTTATACAAGGAATTTAATTGAAAATGATTTATAGAATGGGTCGATAGAATATCGAGCGAAGAGAAGCGAAAATTTACCTTCGAATTGGCTCGATGGAAAATATATTTTAGATGTATCAACGGAAGATCGAAAAATGAAATTGGGTTAAACGTCCTACTATTCTCATCATCTGGGTTAAAGAAGACGGGCATACTCCATACAATGTGCTGTGAGGGAAATTTTGCCCGGACAGCGGCACTACGGCCTACTCTTATATCGAATTCCAACTGCCAAGGGATCTTTTACGTGCACGCCAATGTGTACACGGGACCTCGGTTTTTCGTCTCATCCGGACAACTAGACAACTGTCCTTGGCAGGTCCTCCGTCCTGCACCACTAACATGGGAAACCACACCGGAAAATCCCGATGAACTTACTCGGCCAACACCGGAAACGACCCCGCGACCTCCAGGCTAGCGAGTCAGCGTCTTACTCACCTAACCACCGTGACTCCGGAAGATCGAAACGGTGACATTATAAACCTAAGTCGTTCACGCGTAAAGATAGAAAAACGCAGGGCAACATAATATCGAAATGGCGGAAATACAGGAAAGGACGCATCTTACCCATTTTCTCAAATATGACTGCCTAGAACTTGTCATTTTCTCAAATATGCCATTTTCTCAAATATGACTGTCTAGAACTTGTCATTTTCTCAAATATGACTGCCTAGAACTTGTCATTTTCTCAAATATGACTGCCTAGAACTTGTCATTTTAACACTTAGAAATTAAAAGGATATTTCACGCATCAGTTAGACCTACTTTTATTTTTACTTATACTATTCTATTATAAGGGGTTGTTAAAAAAATTGATGCAATACGAAGTTTTCCCCAAAACATTTATTTTTCAAGAAACCTTTACTTAAAGATACATTATGGGAGATTAGATAAAGAGGTGGCAGTTCTCACTATAATAGTTAAAAACTAGATAACGTAATGACAATTTGCTGAAAATTTCTGTCAAATTGATCCACTCTGAACCGAGATTTTAGCGATTGAATTTTAGGAAAAGTCTCGATCAACATTACTAAAGTCGGCACGATATTAAAAACATAGTCTCGATTATCCATTTCATGCTTAAATCACGAATGAAAGTTAAGCAGCAAATGGGAGCCTATAATCCACTAAATGTCGCAGACTAGCTTTGACATTGAGAGTTGATTATGGTCTGGATAAGTTAATCAATGTCTAATTAATAATTTAGATAACTTTTCAGGCCTAAAGAAAGGCCTGTAATAGGCAGATTTAGCTCTTGGATAATGTATGTTTAATGTTCAATATTGTTAATTAATTTTTTAAATAATTTAAGGGCTAAAATGCGCCCTTCCGTGCTTTTATAGAGGACACGGGGATAAATTTGATGTTTTTATGTCTTTTGAAAACAAAACTTAACAATAATTGTAATACAGTAGCCTACTGTATGAAATTATAAATCTTGCAAAGACTTTGGACAGAAAACCGACGAAAGTAGTAACACTTGGACCATTGCGTGATGCTATATTCTGACGGTATTTTAATCTCTCAGAAAAAAAGTGCATAAAGGCTAAGAATCGTGTCTGGAGGCCAACTGAAACCCCACCCCCCTCGTATGTCGTGGAGCTTAAATGGTCCGACTTCAGTTTTTCGAAGCGTTGCAGGAGCGGAGCCATATCCTCAAACACAAATTTAAGTTGACTAATTAGTAATATTAATTAACTAAATATCTTTGAAAAAACAACAACAAAGAAATAACGATATCTAGTCTATCCTTTTTGGCTACTCTTGCAAATATAATTATTTGGATTTAATGCGACATTTTCTTAAATATCAAATCCCGTTAAAAATATCCAATCATTCATTCTACTTTCGTTTGATTTGCTTTGTTTTGACGAGCTAGATATGACCTTCACCCTGGTCATATGACGCCTCCCCCGACATGACGTCATTTGCTCTGTTGACATTCTATACCGCCATCTTTGGGACCTGCAACCGGAAAAGGGTTTCTCGGAATGATTGTAAATTATATGTAAGATGGACACTTTGGTAAATGTTCAGCGCCGGAATATGGGACCATAGATTATCTTCTAAATATACATATAACTTATATGAAATTCTATTGGTAAGTTTTGTAATTATTAATGATTACATGTATGTGTACGTTTTATTTTTATGAACACCAGAAACGAAACTGCCAGAGTGGCAAATGATTAGACAGTTGTTGACGGATTCCAAGGTGAAATATATCAAGCTATACATATTTTTTTTTAACGGTAATAATTTGGAAAAATTTCGAGGGAACTAGTGTCGTAGAAGATAAAGTATTCTGTCGCTTTATATCTTGTAAAATTAGGGATTGAAACTCGTTTATGTTTGACAGCTGAATTCTCATGCTTGAATGATTCAGATTGCCGACTAACATTTCTGTTCTGTTGGGTTAGGTCTACAGTCAACACTTCATTAAACCTAGCTCATTTTGGTGTACCTGTGGTCATAACTGTCAGCCCTTGTTGTGTTTAAGACAATGTTTTGTTTTGTTGCGTAATAAAGAGACTCAGTCAGTGTCAGTCATATTTTTAACTATTGTCGTAGGAATTACTATTTGGCTTGGCTTGTATTTATTTGTGTCCGATTTAGTAAATTTATATTCTGTTGTTGTTGTCATTATATTTTACAATAATGTATGTATGTTGTTATTTTTTAAAAGGAGCTAAATTTTAGACGGGCCATTGGCCTAATTTTCTACCCTTTCATAATAAAGTATGAAACCGGCAAAATAATATTATTATTTATAGCTTGTCGAACTTCCAGTAAGCCCCCACTAAAAACAAAGTTAGAATTTAACAGTTTTGAAGATTAAGAATTTAGAAATAAATGTTTGTGTAAATCCTGTAAAACGTGACATGTTAAGTTGCTGTTTGACGGTGAATGAAATGAAATATTTTTTAATTCACTAAGCTTATATGACAATGTGTAAGCTTATTTCCTTCCTTGAATCCTACTTTCAGTTTCGGAGTGCCAAACAAAGAAATATTTGATTCTTATATGTAAATCTGTGAATGGTGGATTTTGCTAAAGATTATCATGTTTATATTTGAAATAAAAACTAAGGATATATAATTTGTGTCAACCATTAGTATTACTCCTCTTTCTCCTGTTGCTAAAATTTACAATTGTGCGTTCTGAAATGATGTAGAAATTGTTCAGTAAGCTCATATCAAAGTAGTAAAACAAGTAATGATATATTTAGCAGGAAGCTATTATTATAAAGAGACTCAGTCAGTGTCAGTCATATTTTCAACTATTGTCGTAGGAATTACTATTTGGCTTGGCTTGTATTCATTTGTGTCCGATTTAGTAAATTTATATTCTGTTGTTGTTGTCATTATATTTTACAATAATGTATGTATGTTGTTATACGTAAGTTTTTGTGGTCGAGTTCTGTTGAGTGCAGGTTCCCAGAGAAAATAAGCTTTTGTAGATTAAAACAGAATACCTGTAACAGAAAGTAGATTTGTTACATAATTTCCCAGAGAACACACAGCAGAGGAAAACGAAAAAATACTTGATGAAGAAATGTTTGTGCCATTGGTTATTGTACCAGGATATTGTTAGAATTTGAGGAGCTGTGCTGTGGCTCATTGTGTTAGGGGCTGGCCTGCTAACCTACCTGGAGGTCACCTGGTTCAATCCAGTTGTTGGCTGAGAAAGGTTTTTCTGTCATTCAATTCATGCAGGACAGGGAGACTGACAAGGGACAGTGTCCAGTCATTCAGACGTAAACTATAAAAGACGTCTTGATAGTTAGGATTCGAGTGGGCCATATCACGGTTGGCTGGTCAACATTTTCGTCAAAGCACACCACATGGTATATGGCCCTCTTCATCAGTGATAAAAAAAATACCCCCCCCCCCCCAAAAAAAAATAATCATATTTATTTGTAATTTGTAAATGTTTAACGGTACATTATTCTTAGCTTTTATTACTATAATTAATTTCTCTTATTGTTTTTTGGACACTATGGTCCATTATGATTTTTGGCACCGTTCTTGTTACAATGTACCTTGTGCTGTGTATGTATATCACTCAATCACAGCACCATGAAATAAATAAGCTGAGGTCCTCTAAGGTCAGATATATATTTAGTAGCTAGCAATAACAACAAACCTAGATAGATACATATCTGTAGATATAGATATGATCATTTCTCTCCCTTATCTTGTTATCCAGCCTTTAATTTACATATTGACGATGACAGGGAACGTTTATCACATAGTTAGCTTATTACACACGCTGTAATCAAAGATTAGTTCTATATTATAAACCATATTAATTAATCAGGCTAAAAGGTTAGATAGCTTACATTAAGGTATATATATACATATAAAGCTTTTATCTTATTGTTTTATCTTAGTATATACTGTTCCTTTGTAATGTCAAAAGCAAATTATTACATATCAGTGTAGGCCTATAAGTCTAATTTTAAGTACGGTATTCCTTTGGAACATCAAATTGTTTTAGTGAAAACTGGACGGTCACCTCTGACTTGTGGTCGTGGTTTCGATCCCTGATGTGAGTATATGTGGCCTTGAGATGCATGTAGAGCCACCTTCTCGACTTTGGTGGTTTACCCTGGTTACTCCGGTTTCCTCCGACAGTGCTGAATAGACCAAAATAAGATTTTTATGCAATATCACCTTCGATGGAGTGGATGTTAAACCCTAAGGAAGAAGATTCTATGGATTCAGACCAGGTCTAAAAATAATGATTGTAGTTGTACCTGAAAAACTGTTTACGAGTACCGATACTAACTACTAACATTGTATAAAATTACTGATAAAAAACTAGATATGATAATGGAAAGTGCATGATGAGGTTTTATTGAGCGTACAAAATCTCTTCTTTAGTGGTCTATTGTGTACATTTTAGATCATAAGATATATATCATTGGCTCAGAGGGAGGTTGGATGGCCATATGGTTAGCACGTCCGTGCTGTATCATAAAGCCTGTCATTGAGTCAACTGGCGTGGTTTCGCATCCTCGGTTATACGTGACAAGGAGTAGGGTTGCCTGTCCAACCTCGTGGGTTTTCTCCGGGTCCTCTGTTTTCCTCCCACTGCTATAACCCCTATGCGCAAGCGATTTATTGAAATAAAATTTAAAAAAAAAGCATGTTAGCCCCGAAATGACCTTGTTTGTGTCGAGTGGACGTTAAACCCCATCTCTCATTGAGTCAGTGTTATTTCTATTCCGTGATTTCAATCCTATGATTTGTAGGTGACAAGGAGTTGGTTACCTGTCCAACATAATGGATTTTCTCCTGACGCTCCGGTTAACTCCCACTGTTAAATACCACATTTGTTAGCCCCGAAATGACCTAGTTTGTGTCAAGTGGATGTTAAATCACTATTTCTCCCCCTCTCTCATCGATGTATTGTAGATGATTCTTTCTCGGTATTTGTTTTTAGTTCTAATACGTGTGACAGCTAGATTATTGATGTGTCCTGTCAGTGTCTTATCTGTAATCAATTTTTGTATTGATCAGAATTTGAAATGACTGTTGTTCGACTTATTCATCGTTAAGAAAGTAGAAGTGTTAAGAAATTAGTAATTAAGGTTTCCGTACCATACTGCATGGAATTGAAATTAGAATGCCTCGTCAGCGTTCTGTAGTACACCGATGCAGAACTAACTGTTTCTTGACAGTAAATAATGAAATTTAATGATGTTTAACTTCCTGTGATCACAATACTTTAGTCATCAGACCCATATTGAAATATGGTCGTATATTGTCGTTGGACCGGCGTCCACCAATGCTTATCAACTCTCTAAAGACTAGAGTTTTCACCAAATTTATACACAGCATTTAATGTCGATAGACAAAGAATCCTATTGATATTTATCCGATAATGGCTGCCAAGACTTGTGGCCCTTTATCAGGGCTGCCATCCGATGCTCTAGAGGCTCAAGTCACAAAGTTCTCAAATGTTTTAGATATGGCGCTGCTGTGAGGAAGTGGCCATCAGAAGATTTACAAGCCAGTAAATATGATGAACATAATTATCTATAAATTGTTGTTTGACTTGAGTTGATGGCATTAATTAAACATCCCTGTATGAAGTAAATATAATTGATTCTGTACATATAGACCAAGCTGTGGTATGGCATGATATTGTATGACCTGAAATATTGTAAATATTACCTTACATACTACCTGTACATTACCTGTTCATACAATAGACTGATTGTATATACAGGTGAATAGGTGTATGTCTATAGATTATTAATTTCCTCAGGATTTTCTGGTTTGGTTTCTCCTTGTAATTGGTGCAGGACAGAGGGTCTGGCAAGGACAGCTGTCTAGTCGTTTGGATGGGTAAAAAAAAACAACTGAGGTACACATTGGCATGCATGTGAAATATCCCTTGACCATGGAATTCGATATAAATGTAGGCTGTAGCACTGATTCCTGGCAAAATTTCCCTCATACTCATGCATATTCCCCTCTTTTTTAACCCAGTTGGTGTAGAACTGTAGGACGTTAAACCCGATATTATTTTTATCTATTAGAGAATTAATTAATGTGTTTTTTTTTTTACAGGTTTATTTAAATATATAAGTTGGAGTGACGAGAGTGACTACCTCTCACAACAACATTCTATCATAATGGTAAGTCAGATATTTTAATATCTATTTTATCTTTGTATACATTGTAAATTATAAACAAGTTAGTCAAGATGTTTTCTTTTGAATGGATAAAGAATTTGACAAAATTTTGCTACTCGGCAGTTTTCTATAAATCTGTTTAATTGTAAAGAATCTCTTTAGATTTGTTGAAATGGGTGGTGATGCATGATAGATTTTTACCCCATGGTGGGAGTTCAATACAAGCTGTCTATCGTTATTGGCTACATCTTGACGAGACTCGCTGGAATTAACATTTACATTCGTATGTGACTGGTATCAGTCTTGATGACCACAAGGGGGATTGGATGGCCGAATGGTTAGTATGTGCGCGCTCTATCATAAGGTCTGTCATTGATTGAGTCAACTGGCATGGTTTTGATTCCCTGGTTGTATGTGACAAGGAGTAGGGTCGTCCGTCCAACCTCATGGGTTTTTCATGTGTCCTCTGTTTTCCTTCCGCTGCTAAAGACTCCTAAGCACAAGTGCATTATTGAAATGAAAATTGACGATATGTTACTCCTGAAATGCCTAGTCTCATAAAGTCTGTCATTGAGTCATCTAGAGTGGTTTTGATCCCCCGATTGTACTTGACAAGGAGGAGGGTCGCCTGTCCAACCTCGTATGTTTTCTGCAGGTCCTTTGGTTTCCTCCAACTTCTATAGATCCCTCATCGCAAGCAAATTATTGAAATAAAATCTAATCATATTTTAGTCCCGAAATGACCAGCTTTGTGTTGATTGGACATTAACTTCTCTCTCTCTCTCTCTCTCTCTCTCTCTCTCTCTCTCTCACTCTTCTTTGTTAGGTCCACTATATCTAAATATAGAGCTTATCAGAGTAGACCCTAGTGTAACAATACTTATTTACTACCATAGTTGTACGCATGAGTAGGTAGCTTTCATTTTGATCTTAAATCTACCATATCATGACATTCTGACAGCTGAAAAACATCATAAATATTACAGAATTATGCTAGAAACTTCAAACATTTAGGTTTTATGTCAATCAGAATATTCGGTGCTCAATTTGTCTTAGTGTGTCATTCGGAAAGCTTTGAGTTTTGGCTTAGAAGGACTTGAAAGGACATGGTTCATTGAATTCATTCATTTCTTTTATCAATTATGCAGACCTCAGCACAAATTTAAAATGTTATTAAACCACTCTAGCTTATAAATAAAAATTCTGCAAAATAACAATTTGTTTATGAAAAAAGTAGCCTAAATCTTAGTTTTACATTGCTAGATACCTAAATATGAAACACAAATATTGTGACCTGTGTGGGAAAGATTATTATCACTATTCATAATCTCATAATCATTCACCTTGACACCTCGAATATTCTAGATTTGTTACAGTGCAGTCTGTGATTTTAGAGATATAGGAATCACTTGTAAACCAATCGGATTAAAACACAGATCTTATTTCGTTTCGTTTTTTATAATTCAAAATTTCATTTTACTTGTCTTACTACACTAGAGTTGTTATATACATGTAACCTGCGTTCTAGATGATGTGAGGGATTAGCCAATGAAACAGTCTGTTACAACAAATTTTTGTTGTGGGTAACCCACTAGAAACATCATAGGGTCAACAAAAGCCACTTGTATGACCCGATGCGACCTTCAACTACAACTGGTCAGATCTTCATGTAGTGTAGACCATCGAAAGTATAAAAGAAAACGAAACGAAATATAGATCTGTATATTAATGAGATTGTTTGTAAACTACAGTATTGTAAAAGTTGAATCTCTACAAGTAATATCAGTCCATAAAAAGTTTAATTCCGTCAGTATTTACCTTAAACCCAGTTGATAAAGGGCTGCAGTCCGAAATGCATCCTGGCCCCTGAGTTCACAAAGCATTCTCAGATTTAGTTACCGGTACCAAAGTGACCAATTCACTTTTTTGTCAATCAGCCTTTTCAAATATAATCTTCATGTATGCTGCTCCCAAGCACATCGTCACTTTTCAATTAAATCAATGTCTGGAGATTCTCTACCGTTGATATTTTGACTTCGTTTTCTTAAAGATACATTATGGGAGATTAGATAAAGAGTTGACACTTCTCTGTATAATAGTTAAAAATAGATAACATAAATAGAATATGCTGAAAATTTCAGTCAAATTGATCCACTCTGAACCAAGATATTAGCTTTTGAGTTTTATGCTAGCCTCGATCATCATTACTAAAGTCATTACGATAAAAAAACAAAGTCTCGATTATCCATTTTTACATTTATTATCTTTGATTGAAAAAAGGTATTCAAATCGCTAAATATTGAAGTCTAGAGATGGCATCGAGAGTTGATTATTTTCTGGATAAGTTAATTAATGTCCAATTAATAGTATATAACATTTCATGCCTAAAGAAAGACCTGCAATAGGCAGATTTAACTCTTGCATAATGTATGTTTAAATGTTGAATAATCCATCGGAGTACATACAGCACTAGCATGGGTTAAGCCGTGAAAAATTTAATATTTTCTGTCAAATACAAATCATACATGAATACATGTAGTTTAAGACATGGATTAATGTAGATAAGATGCATGTGTATACATTGATATTGTTGATTTAACAATTTTACTATAATTGAGGTACACATAACATCCTGGCCTAGATAACCCACTTGTAAAATAAACATCAATCATATATAAAGGGCTGTTTTTAAAGGTAACCTTGACTAGAGGCTTGAGAGACTATATAGATCAACAATACACGGGAACTCCCTAATGTCCTTGGCCTTTTCTTATGGCTTTTATTTAAAACAGTTAAATTTAAACCAACGTGAAAAATACATGCAATATGGTTCACGTTACATTGCATATCGACAAGTTGACCTATTTTCACTCTCTAGATGTTTAAAGGCACCAGTAAACCTTGTCACTTTCAATGTTAAAATATGTGTCACATTGACATAGCATGGATTGGCTAGTTGAGTGTTTTAAGACTGGTGTGTGGATTAGTTGCATTCACTATGATAGACAGTGATATTGAACCATGTCTGTTTAATGTTAGACGATAGGCAATTTGTCAAGATTAACGTTAAATCTATGTTTTTAGTTGTTATGTAGTTGTCGTGTCAATTGAACTTACATGTCAGTTATTAAGTAAAAACTCGTGTTAGTTAAATGATTATAGTAATTGACCTGTCAATGAGAAAAAAAAATGTCTTGTGTATTAATAAAACTGTCTACAAGACAGCATTTTATACCGGAGCAGTTGGGGTTACATGCCTTATTAGATACATTTTAATACATTTGTCATTTTGAGAGGAATCGTGGATAGATTTTAGAATTGTATATGTCAAATACATGTCGATTTAACCTTCAGTCAGAATATATCGACACATATATCATTTCTGTCATGTACATGTACCCAGTAATGCTCGATGTCAATGGTTGCCAGGGGCTAGGATAAACTGCCCCCGGGGTTTTCCAGTACAAACATTGAAATGACTGTAATAATACACAGAAAGAAAAACTGAGACAACGATTAGTTTCTTAAACATATATTACGTAAAAGCTAAATCTGCCTCCAGATCATAATCAACTCGCAATGTGATTGCTAGCCTGCGATATTTACTGGATTATGATCCAATTTGCTGCTCAATTTCCATTCATGATTAAATCATGAAATGGATAATCGAGACTATGTTTTTTATTGTACCGAATTTAATAATGATGATCAAGGCTAGGCCTAAAATTCAAACGCTAATATCTTTTATGATAAAGGATCAATTTGACTTAGATTTTTGGGATATTCCCTTAACATTATTTAGTTTTTTTACTATTATAGTGAGAACTGCCAGCTCTCTATCTAATCTCCCATAGTGCCCCTTTAAAGATAAAGAATGTTTAATCTCCTAAATGCCGAGGGAACCACAGTCGCTAAGTAGGTTAAATGCTGTCTCGCTCGCCTGTAGGTTCCACGTTCGATCCCTGCAGTGGCCGAGAATGTTGATCGAGTTGGTCGGCTTGGTTTCCCTTTGTCAGTAGTGCAGGACGGAGGGCCTGACCAGGACAGATGTCTAGTTGTTCGGGCGGGACAAAAAATGAGGTCCCGTGTGTACCTTGGCGCACACGTAAAAGATCCCTCAGTATTTGGAATTGGATATAAGGTTAGGCCATAGTGCCGCTGCCAGGGCAAAATTTCCCTCATAGCACACTGTATAGCGTATACTCGTCTTCATTAGCCCAATCGGAGCAGAACAGTTGGACATTTCCTTTCATTTCCTAAATGTCTAATATTTGACAAAAAGATGTCAATCCGTTACAATTATATTTAGAAGCAGATACTTTCCTAATTGGCAGACTGCTATAATAATTATGATGTTTGAACTTGGCATTAGTAGCATGGCTTGAAAAATACAGTCCTGATGTCCTTTTGGTTTTTAAACATTAAACATACATTATGCAAGAGCTAAATCTGCCGATTGCAGGTCTTTCTTTAGGCCTGAAATATTATCTAAATTATTAATTAGACATTAATTAACTTATCCATACCATAATCAACTCTCGATGCCATCACTAGCCTGCGATATTTACTGGATTTGAATACATTTTGTGGTGGATAATTTAAAGAGACTTTGTTTTTTGTCGTACCGACTTTAGTAATGATGATCGGGACTAGGCCTAAAATTCAGAGTAGAGCTATTTGACAGATATTTTCAGCATATTCTCTTTATGTTATAAGTATTATAGCGAGAACTGTCAACTCTTGATCTAATTTAATCTTCCATAATGCCCCTTTAAGTAATACCCCTATCAGACCGAGGTAGCGTTCTTACTGCGCTGCTACAGCGACGGAAAATGATCGCAGAGCGCGACAAAGTAAATCGCCATAAGTGTGCTAAAGGCGTGGTGGAAACGCCAGATATGGTGCTGTGGTCTCTATGGTCGCCAAAGATCGCCAAAGATCACCGAGTCACGGCGTTTGTTTTGTGCATGTTCAAAACAAATGCCATGGTTCTGCGATCTGACCTGGAAAGCTGTGAGAATGCGCCTTTTTTCAAGTTTGTAATTTTTGGGGACATTTTCTCGTTTTGTTCACGTTTGCCATCAACCTTGTGCATTTTCTGGTCGCCGTATGGTTGCAGCAGCGCAGTAAGGACACCACTCGGTCTGACGGGGGCATAAGGGATCTTTATCAACTGATCTAGGTTGTTTATAACGTCCTACAGTCTGCCCCGACTGGGCTAATGAAGACGGGGATATGCCATACAGTGTGCTATGAGGGAAAGTTTGCCCATACAATAGCGTTGTGGTTTCCTTTTATTTCTAATACCAACTTTCAAGGGTTCTTTGTCGTTGTCGTCGCCAGTGTGTCCATCAGAGTATACCATGCCAGAAAATGTAGAGGAATTTTTTTCGCTGATATGCTGGTTAGCAGCTGTGCATTTTGCTAATTAGACATTTCTTGATTTTAATCATTTGAGTTTGTATGTGAGAACAAATTGGACATTGTTTTTGGAACACAAGGATGTTGATAACTGTGTCATCTTCCTCACATAGGCCTACACAGTTAGTAAAATGATACATCAGCAGAAAATTCTTCTCTATATGAATATAAACGTGACATTGTAAGATGACCTAAGACAATAAGAGTTTTTATTTTATTCTTATCAATAATCTCACATTATACGAGATGTGGTCTGATTAAAGATATTTGTTATTTCTAGGAACATCTTGATTATTCATAACCATATGAAATTAAAATGATATTATTGGTGCGTGTTTTATAACTATATGAACACGCTAAATGTTTTTTTTTTGTCCCCCGCCTTTCGAAGAACATAACAACTCTTCTTTTAATTGAGGTAGAATTTCTAAACTTGATGTAGATGTTCATTAGGTGAATTCCTTGACTGAGTTCAATGATTAACATTTCGAGCTGAAGGTAAGCAAAGCTAAGAAATTTCATTGGTCGATGCTTTGGGACAAGAAAACTTTGATTCTATCTGATAGAGAGTGAAGAAACTTAGTGTATAGTTGATAATCAGTTTGATTGCTTGATACTTTTGAAAAAAATAAATGTACGATTAATTAATATGTGTCATCTATTTATTTTGGGATTTCAGTGGTGGACATCAGCCTCACTGTTGGCTTGTTTAAGAATCGGAGCCCAAGTGGGTAAGACACTGATTCACTTGCCTGGAGGTCGCGTGATCATTTCCGGCGTTAGCAGAGAGAATTCATCAGGATTTTTTGACCTGGTTCCCCTTGTCAGTGGTGCAGGATGGAGGGTCTGACGGGAAAAGCTGTCTAGTTGTTTGGCTGGGCCAAAAAGCAAGATCCTGTGTGTACACATTGGCGTGCACGTAAAAAAAATCCCCTGGCAGTTGGAATTCGATACAAGACTAAGCCTTATCGCCGCTGTCCGTGCAAAATTTCCCTGATAGCACACTATGGCGTATACCCGTCTTTATTAGCCCAGACAGAGCAGAACAGTAGGATGTTAAACCTCATTTCATTTCATTTATTTTATGATTCAAATATTCTAAATCATTATTGAAACACAATTGGAATAATATAAATCATTATTCAATCACTATTCAAATAATTTAAATGATTATTTTAACACTTTTCGAATCATCTCAATCATTATTTTAACACTATTCGAATCATCTCAATCATCATTAAAACACTATTCAAATAATTTAAATCATTAATGAAACACTATTCAAAACATCTAAATCATCATTAAAACACTATTCAAATAATTTAAATCATTATTGAAACACTATTCGAATCATCTCAATCATTATTGAAACACTATTCAAATAATTTAAATCATTATTGAAACACTATTCGAATCATCTCAATCATTATTGAAACACTATTCAAATAATTTAAATCATTATTGAAACACTATTCAAATAATTTAAATTATTATTGAAACACTATTCAAATAATTTAAATCATTATTGAAACACTATTCGAATCATCTCAATCATTATTGAAACACTATTCAAATAATTTAAATCATTATTGAAACACTATTCAAATAATTTTAATTATTAATGAAACACTATTCAAAACATCTAAATCATCATTAAAACACTATTCAAATAATTTAAATCATTATTGAAACACTATTCGAATCATCTCAATCATTATTGAAACACTATTCAAATAATTTAAATCATTATTGAAACACTATTCAAATAATTTAAATCATTATTGAAACACTATTTGAATAATCTCAATCATTAGCTTGATTGTTGCAATAAAAAAGCATGTTAAACTTCATTTCATTTCTAAATCATTATTTGAATTCCATTCAAATATTTGAATCAATTTTAACTTTTTATCAGCTTGTTGGCACTTGGTCAGATTTCTAGAGTTTGTGAAATGAAATGAAATGAAATGGGGTTTAACGTCCTGCTGTTCTGCTCCTAAACTGGGCTAATGAAGATGGGCATACGCCATACCGTGTGCTATGAGGGAAATTTTGTCCGGGCAGCGACACTATGGCCTACTCTTACATCGAATTCTAACTGCCAAGGGATCTTTTATGTGCACACCAATGTGTACACGGGACCTCGTTTTTTCTTCACATCCAAACGACTAGACAGCAGCAGCTGTCCTTGTCAGGCCCTCCGTCCTGCATCACTGACAAGGAGAAACCACGCCGGAAAATCTGGATGGACTTTCTCAGCCAATTTTGTGAATTTGTAGAATCAATATACACTCTCTCTCTATCGGTGAATGTTAGTTGATTGAATTAGAATGAATATTATTGAATATTTCCTATAGAAGGCAAACAAAAACAGTTGCAAGTTATGGTTATTGATATTTGCATTGATTATTTAAAAAATCAAAATGTCAACCGTAGATCATTTCTCGGGCTGGATGTAAGCGGTTTAAAAAGAGGCTCATCTGTCTGCATGCGTTTATATCCTATAAAATGTCTCCAGAGAGGATGTTGAATGTTGATAGATTTTTTTAATTCATCATATCTTTGTAGATACTCCACGGAATTGAACCATTTTTGGACTTGTATTCCTTGTACAGATTTAACTTTGACAATATTGTAGTTTTTAAACGATTCCTCAATTCCTCAAATGACGATGATGAAAAGACTTTAACTCAATGTTGCTAATTTAAAAATTTTCTTGTCAGACATTTTTACCGAAAATAAAGGGGCATAATCCTTATTGTTAATTAAGCAGGCAGATTCAGACCACAATTAAAAATCATGTGTCAAAAAAATATTCAAATCTGTACGTAATAAAAGATAGGTGCACCTCGTTATAAAATTTACGTTTTTCGTAATACAATAGAATGAAAGCGTACCAACCTGTACCTGCTTAAAATGACGCCAGTAATATTCCTCCAAAATTACGTTATTTTTAAAAGAGACAAACTTTTATTCTCAATTTTAATTGTATATATTTAATCATGTATATCGTTTTAAACATTTATATATGTAAAAGATTTGTTATATTTATTTTTAATTAATATATTTTCTGTGATATTTGTTTTTATTTACATATATAAATCCATTTATGTGATATTGTTTTAATTTGTCTCGTTAGATTCACCATATGTTTGGCGCAATATAGCCCGGTTGGAGCTGACATGCCATTAAAAAACATTTCATTTCATTTCCAAAATTACGTGTCTGTTTATAATGGCAGCAAATGAAAGCAAAACGTCTTTTACTTTTGATGTCAAAACATCATTTTCTTCTTTATATTATAAATGGCTGTTAGTCTGGTTTTTTTTGGCATCAGTTAAACGTCCAAAATAATTTTATTTATAAATGGCTGATCAAACTGGTTTTTTTTGGCATCAGTTAAAGTTTAAAGTTTAACTGATGCCGCAAAAAACAAGTTTGAACAGCCTTGAAAAACAATTAAATGTGATCATTATAATATTGAGTTATAAATTATAATCTTATATTGCAGACTAATACTCAGGCCGAACCTCACAGTTTTGAAGTCTGCACCGAAGCAGAACTTTTTCCCAAGAAGAATCCTGTTTGTGATGACGAGGGTCTGGTTGTTCCGTTTCCGACTCTTCATGGAGAGTCTGTGGAGTATCTTGGTCGAGTATCAGATGGAGTTATTGCCCTTTCTAACTATCGTCTGTTGATTCGAGCGAAGAAGTGGTTTGTAAATATACCACTTGGTTTGATTGATGGTGTTGATACGAGAGAAATATTCTACATCGTAATATCATGTAAAGATGCTACAACAATCAGGTACGTTCGTTAGTTAATAGAATCATTGTTACGCTGGCATGCTGTATCATAAGGTCTGTCATTGAGTTCGTTATTTAATAGAATCACCATTACGGTGGTTAGCATGTGCACGCTGTATCATAAGGTCTGTCATTGAGTTTGTGTTTAATAAAATCACTATTAGTATTATGGTGGTTAGTACGTGCACGCTGTATCATAAGGTCTGTCATCGAGTTTGTTATTTAATAGAATCACTATTACAGCGGTTTGCATGTGTGCGTAGTATCATAAGGTCTGTCATTGAGTCAACTGGCAGGGTTTCGATTCCCCAGTTGTACGTGACAAGGAGTAGGGTCGCTTGTCCAATCTCATGGGTTTTCTCCGGTTTCCTTCCACTGCTAAAGACCCCTACGCACATGCGAATTATTGAAATAAAATCGAACCATGTGTTGAGTGGACATGAAACCCCATTTCTCTCTTTCACTATTGCGGTACTGAAATGAAGTGAAGTGGGGTTTAACGTTACACTGCACCGACTGGGTAATGAAGATGCACATAAGCCATACAGTGTGCTATGTGGGAAATTTGGCCAGACAGCGGCACTACAGCCTACTCTTGTTTCAAATTTCAACCGTCAATGGTTCTTTATGTGCACGCCAATGTTAAAACAGGATCTCAGTACTTTGTCTCGCCTGGAGGTCGGGTGTTCGATCCCTGCATTGGCCGAGAAAGTTCATCCAGATTTTCCGGCGTGGTTCTCCCTTGTCAGTGATGCAGGACGGAGGGGCTGACAAGGAAAGCTGTCTAGTCGTTCGGATGGGACGAAAAACCGAGGTCCCGTGTACACATTGGCGTGCACGTAAAAGATCCCTTGGCAGTTGGAATTCGATATAAGAGTAGGCCGTAGTGCCGCTGTCCGGGCAAAATTTCCCTCATAGCACACTGTATGGCGTATGCCTGTCTTCATTAGCCCAGGTTAGGAGCAGAACAGTAGGACGTTAAACCCCATTTCATTTCATTTCATTTCATTTGTACTTTGTCTCATTTGAACCACTACACATTGTCCCTCGCAGGCCCTCTTGCCCCGCCACAGACAAGGGGGAACCATGCCAAAAAATCCCAGTAAACTTTCTTGGGATTGAACACTAGACCTCCAGGTTAGCCTGCCAAGGTCTTACTCATTGAGCCACTGGGGCTGGCCTTACTCAGATTTTGACATGTAACCATTGCTCGTTAGCAACACTTGCAATCGTAATCATTGCAAATGATAATATTAAGAAATAACCTATTCACCCGAGCCCTATGGAGGTACCCTATTTACCTGAGCCCTATGGAGGAACCCTATCTACCTGAGCCCTATGGAGGAACCCCATTTACCAGAGCCTTATGGAGAAACCCCATTTACCTGAGCCCTATGGAGGAACCCTATTTACCTGAGCCCTATGGAGGAACCCTATCTACCTGAGCCCTATGGAGGAACCCCATTTACCAGAGCCTTTTGGAGAAACCCCATTTACCTGAGCCCTATGGAGGAACCCTATTTACCTGAACCCTATGGAGGAACCCTATCTAGCCGAGCCCTATGGAGGAACCCTATCTAGCCGAGGCCTATGGAAGAACCCTATATACCCGAGCCCTATGGAGGAATCCTATTTACCCAAACCCTATGGAGGAACCCTAGTTACCCGAGCCCTATGGAGGAACCCTATCGAAATTTATGCTCATGCAATTGCAACCAAAGAAACCAACTGAAATTCGTGACCTTATTTTTTTTGCTGATTTAAACCTTGGTGGAATTCTAATAAGACGCTGCTGCTGTCTAGGCAAAATTGCCTTCATATCACACTGTATGCCATATGGCGTGAAAGATATTGATTTTATTAGAGTGAATGTAATGTTAATTATGTATATAAACGTGGTATTATCTGTAATTCTATCCTAGTGTTGATAATAACCCTTTCAACATCAATCTTCATTACCCCAGTCGGTGTAGAAAAGTGGGACGTTAAACGCGGTTTCATTTCATTTCTTAAAAAATTCTGCTGGTGGGTTTATATTAATTGCGTGGCGATGCTATGTTACGGATAACAGTTAAATGGGACAGCCATTGTACATACTGATTTTAAGCTGTAGTCTATTTAAGTTTTACTGTATACGGTTAAAGGTCATTTGATTTAAGGTTTGAATTACTGTTGACCTTATTTAGTTATTGACGGAGGTTAAGTGAATGGTGAAGTGTAGAATATTGTTTATTTATATGTAAACAAATTGTTGAACATTCTGTAGTTACATGTATTGATCAGTTAGAATCCAACCAGATGTTTCACATTCCATATTACTTACTATTTATACCTATTGATTACACAGTATATATCACAGCTTAGATTTCTTAATTTCTCAAACATGAGATATTGCACTATTTGTAATGTTATTACTGCCCATCCGTTGAAGAAATCAGAAACCAGGAGACTATTAAAATGGGATTGTTTATCTGCCGTTGAACTTGTTGTGAATACATAGGTTAAGCCTGTTCCCCAATCCCATTCAGACAACCTGAATAAAGATATTGTTTATATAAAAAAACAATAACAATAATTCTAACTCTGCTTTAATTGAGTTTAAAGTAGCTAAGTCTCTTACTCAATATCATCAAAAATCTTCGACATTGAAAACACGATTTATTTGTCAATTTAAATCAACATTGGTGTTGTGATCTTACGGGGAAAAGATGGGCTTCTGATATCCAATATTTAAGACAAAATAAACATTTTACCGTTGGTACACGAATTGAGTACCATGGTGCATTTCAGCGCCATTTTTAACAAGGGACTCGTAGAAAGAGGCTAGATATATTCCACAAGTCATGTCAATCGTTGACGACATATTCTTATCTGGAGAGCATGCGCAATAAATTCTATCGGTATATAGTGGAATAACTAGATGCTAGAGATTGCCATTCGATTGAGACTTCTGGCGTATTTCGCCGAACATAACTGATTAGAAATTGCAATAAAAACAAAAACGATTGAATGTAAATCAGTTTATATACATTCACATTACATTATTATATGCGTTGCTGCCCATTTGTGTCAATTTCTAGATCCAAAATTTTGGCGATTTAGCTCCTTTAAATGTTCAAAAATGGTGCTTGGGGAATTCCTTGTCTGAGGTCGATAATGAGCATTTTCTGCACAAACTAAGCAGAGATAAGCAATTTGATTGGCCAAGTCTTTCGGATGGGACAATAACTAAAAATATGCACGTGCATGTAACAGAACTGTTGACACAGTTGGAATTTGAAATAAGAATGCCATTGGCAGAACAAAATATCCTTCATTAGCACGGATGGAGCAGAAAAGTAGAACGCTAAACCCCATTTCATTTCTTGTTCTAGTTGATTATTGTCTGACATGTTGTTATTTCCAGACATAAACACGATTTAAAACCCTATTCTGTTGTGTGTATTTCAGGTGTTCGTTCCCTACTAACGACTGGTGTCAAGTTTGGTATAAACGTCTGGTAGAAAAGACAAGCTGTTTAAAAGATTTAAACCAATGTTTTGCTTTATCTTATCACGCCTGGTGTATGGATGACAACGCTTCTGGTTCTCAATCCTCAGCTTCACAGACCAGTCACAGTCTCTGTCAGATCAGTAAGTCAGGGGAGATATTAGGAGATGGGGAGGGAGAGAGAGAGAGGGGGAGGGAGAGAGAAAGAAGGGGGGAGGGAGAGAGAGGGAGGGAGCGAGCAAGGGAGAGAGAGGGAGGGAGAGAGAGTGGGGAGAAAGAGAGGAAGGGGAGAGAGGGGGAGGGGAGAGAGAGGGGGAGGGGAGAGAGCGAGGGGGAGGGAGAGAGAGAGGGAGGAGGGGAGGGAGGGAGGGAGAGAGAGTGGGGGAGAGAGGGAGGGGGAGAGGAGAGAGAGAGAGAGAGAGAGAGAGAGAGAATTTAATATCCACTCAACACAAACTAGGTCATTTCACGACTAACAGATGGTTTAATTACATTTCAACAATTTGCTTGTACCTAGGGGTCTTTGGTCTTTAACAGTGTGAGGAAACTGGCGGACCCGGAGAAAACCCACAATGTTGGTCAGCTGACCCTACTCCTTGTCAGGTACAAGCAGTGAATGTAAAACACTCCACATGACCCAATGACAGACCTTATGATTTATGGGCACACCTTAAACCATTGGTCTCCCAACCCCTCATAATACAGTTTAACCAACTCAATGTATTAACACTTTAGTACCACCCCAAACTAATGCCCTGAAAATAAGGCACCTGTCACAGACAATGTCAGGCATCCATTGAGACTTTGCCAGACACAAAACCTCTGGTGGCTGTCATTTTGTCCAGCACTGATTTGTCTTTTTTATTGATATTGTTAATACATGTCGGGCACTAAGCTGAAAATGTCAGGTACCGTTATTTCCAGGCCTGGCTCTAGCACCTCAAATTTCCGTAGTAACGTGAATATTAAGGCCTGTATACTAGTTCTGTGACTGGGCAGTCTAAGTAACTAGTGGTAGTTCTGTGACTGGGCAGTTTACAAAATAAGCTACCAAACATTTCTCTAATTTGTTAAGGGAAACTGGAGTAGTCAATGTTTACATGTTATTTGTACCAGGTAGTACTTAAGGGTTAATGGTGGCTTTGATTAAAAGAAATTGTGACCAGCCCTTCCGTCCTGTTTATAACATGAATTATTGATATTAATGAGACTAGATCATTTAGTTTGTTTTATAACCCTACATTATTTTATCATCATTTTGTTTCGTTCTCGATAAGAATATAATCCACGACACATCAAGTTGATAAAACATACATTCTCTTTAATTAATTATAAATATTTAAATAATTCATTAACCATAATTGTTTCCTACATGTAAAGATGCTGGCATCAGTTCACTTGTTCATTTGCTGTTCTTTCCTCCTCCATTGTTTCTGTAAAGATGAAGGTTGAATGGACATTTTTTTCCATGGTTCCCACCATATTCCTGAAGCAATGGTCCGAGAAATCCCTCTCTGGCCATTGCTGGATTAGCTTCTGATACTTGAGCTTTTAAGGCAGTGTGTCTATTCTTCCCGTTCAATCAAATCTCTCCCCAAACACAGCAACATGACAGCCCTTCTTTTAATCAGGGGCCTTCCCTAAAACTTTGGACAGTGATTTAAGGTCTTAAAAATGGTGACAGTGTTGTTCGCCTCAAAACAATATTGTTTACATTATATCCATGTTGACAGTTGATAGCCTTGTTTGTCACACAATTAGTTTTTCTGCAATATTCAGCTATGCACTGGTTAATTGGGCATAATAAAATCGTGAGTCATAAGGTAACGTTATGTAAACATATTTGGTCCAAATTGTGATCTCTGGTTGGTATTGTTACGCAGTTAGCTATTGGTTGTTAATCGGACTATTGACCAGTCATAATTTAGAACAAGAATTTGCTTTGCTTACAGCAGTGAGTAGTGGGATTAGCTCTAATCAAACGAAACACTGCGAGGAGTATGGGTTCCCACGTGCCATGCATAACATGTTTGGAACTGACAAGAAAGGAGTGTCTAGTTTGTCGGATAGGCCAGAAAACGGAGGACTATCAGTATTACACAAATGTTAACTGAAAACTTATGTCTATCATACAAATATGATGATTTCAAGTTGAAGTCAATGAAAAATCATATGAACAGAAACTTACAGCCTGGACAAAATTATCTCTTACACATGTAGGGGGGTTGGGTGGCTGCATGGTCTTTCATTGAGTCAGCTGGTGAGGTTTTCAATTTCCCGGTTGTACGCGATAAGGAGTAGGGTCGCCTGTCTGTGTCCTCCGGTTTCCCCCCACTTCTAAAGACCCCTACGAGTGAACGAATTATAGAAATAAAATTGAACCATATGTTAGTCCCAAAATGACCTAGTCTCTCTCTCTTACACATATGATCACAGAAGTTGTATATTATCATATGGATATTTGTCACATATAATCACAGAAGTTGTATATTATCATATGGATATTTAGATATTATTTCGTGATTTATTCTGTATATTTCTAGTTGATGTAGTGTTAGATATTATTTCGGGATTTAGTTTGTATATTTCTAGCTGATGAAGTGTTATTATACTGTGATTTATTTTGTATATTTCTGGCTGATGAAGTGATATTATATTGTGATTTATTTTGTATATTTCTAGCTGATGAAGTGTTATTATATAAATTTGGTAACGAAATAAAGAGAATGAAGTTTGATACGTCTAATAATAAGGTGTGGCGTATGTCATATATAAATGAAGATTTTAAGTAAGTATTTAACAAATAAACAGGAAAACCTAATATGGAACACGATTACTATTTTAATTAAAACGACGTTTGGTTGACGGTTCTCTCAACATTATCTATCAAATAAACACAAAAACATAATAATATGAAGCACGATTACGATTTGTTTTTGGGTTCACTCAACGTTATCTATGAAGCAAATGATTTATTTCTGTTCCATTTAGCAACTGACACACCTAATAAACAATAAAACATAATATTCAACACAATAATATTTTCATTTGCTTGATAACGTTAAGCGAACCCTCACCCTCAACGAAACAGGGGATCACGTGGATAAGTGGGTAAGACGCTGGCTCGCTAGTCTGGAGGTCGGGTGTTCGATCCCTGCATTGGCCGAGAAAGTTCATCCAGATTTTCCGCCGTGGTTTCCCCTTGTCAGTGATGCAGGATGGAGGGCCTGACAAGGACAGCTGTCTAGTCGTTCGGGTGGGACGAAAAACCGAGGTCCCGTGTACACATTGGCATGCATGTAAAAGATCCCTTGGCAGTTGGAATTTGATATAAGAGTAGGTCGTAGCGCTGCTGCCTGGGCAAAATTTCCCTTGTAGCACACTGTATGGCGTATGCCCATCTTCATTAGCCCAGGTTAGGAGCAGAACAGTAGGACGTAAGACCTCATTTCATTTCAATATATTACGCAATGTCTTAAGCTTGAGACCATTAAACAACTTATAATACAGATACTCGCACATGCTTTGCAATGAAATACGTCACACATTTCATTTCATTTCATTTCCTCAACGAAACATTGTTTTAATTAAAATAGTAATTGTGTTCTATATTATGTTTTTGTGTTTATTACGTGTGTCAATTGCTAAATGTCGCTCAAAGAAGATGAGTATTTATCGTGCTGGTTGAACGTATACATACGTCGTGTAATAATGATTGTAGTTTAACCTGACTAGATGTCATCCACAAGATAACAAGCACCTTTGCCAGACATGTATTGAAAACATTATTAAAAACACTGAAAAAAGACAAATCTTGTCAGGCAATGATATAATAATCCTAGTTTTACCTGAAAAAAATGTCAGACAATACTGAATTAGTAAATGACATTTAGATGTTTGCGCTTGACATGTATTATAAATCATGAGAGATTTTGCCGGAATTTGTGCTTGACACTGTCTGTGCCTGGAGCCTAATTTGTGCTTGACATTGTCTGTGCCTGGAATCTAATTTGTGCTTGACACTGTCTGTGCCTGGAGCCTAATTTGTGCTTGACATTGTCTGTGCCTGGAATCTAATTTGTGCTTGACATTGTCTGTAACTAGAGCATAATTCCCAGGTGTGCATACAGCTTCGGAAACCCAGCAGCTCACACAAATATTCGAATAGGATTATTGAAATTCAATGCTGCGACTATTCCCAGTCTCCCTTGCGTATTGTGTGTCTGTATAACATGGGAATGATCAACTGACAACGTAGTTTTGGTGACGTCCTAGGGAGGGGTCTGGTAAGAAGAGAACAACAGTTACAGATAAGTGTATAGTTTATGATAATCTGTTTAATTGTTTTCAGAATATGTCCATCGTATCCTAACATACATATAGTACCAACTTCTGTATCGGATGACGATCTACATAGTGTAGCTAGTTTCCGGTCAATGAGACGATTTCCATCAGTCGTCTGGAGGTAAATATTATTATATTGACGGGAGAATATTAATATACTGCTAATAATAGTATACACAGTTTTCTATGCCATCTGAATATCCTGGATTGCCAACAGGAACTCGCTTCTTTTGAGGAGTTAGGTTGCCAAATGGTTAATGCGTGTGCGTTTGATGTTAAGGTCTGTCATTGAGTCATGTAACATGGTTTCGATTCCCCGCTTGTATGTGACAAGGAGTAGGGTTGCTTGTCCAACCTCTTGGGTTTTCTCCAGGTCCCATGGTTACCTTTCACTGCTAAAGACCCCTACGCGCTAGCAGATTATTGAAATGTGAAATGAAATTGAATCATATGTTAGTCCTGAAATGACCTAGTTTGTGTCAAGTGGAATTAAAACAGCACCTCTCTCTCTCTCTCTCTCTCTCTCTCTCTCTCCCTCTCCCTCTCTCCCCCTCTCTCTCTCTCTTGTAAAGTTATAGTGGTATTAGGAAATCCATTCATACTATTTTAAAAGTTGTTATGCTTACATGAACTGACAATTGAGTTTTTGCTTTAAAGACAAGTTGTTTAAAATTGATTGTTTCTGTTTATTAACTAGGAGTCAGAAGAATGGTGCTGTAATTGTCCGATGTAGCCAGCCTGAGTTAGGATGGTTAGGCTGGAGAAATACAGAAGATGAAAATCTATTATCAGCTATACCTCTAGCTTGTTCACAAGATCCTGGTACGGAGAATAAACCTGAATCAGGACAGACAACTCCAGATCAAAACGGTAATATGAAACAAATTTTATTTTTTTCAACAATTAGCAAAGATAGTGTTGAACCAGGAACTCATTCCATACCCTTGGTAATATTCCTTTTGGTTCTTGGGACCATGCTCTTAAATAAAAGGAGGCACAGTGGCTAAGTGGGTAAGATGCTGACTCGCTAGGCTGGAGGTCACGTGTTTGATTCCTACAGTGTGGAAGGTCTAGGGTAAGATGCTGGCTCGCTAGCCTGGAGGTCATGTGTTTGATTCCTACAGTGTGGAAGGTCTAGGGTAAGATGCTGGCTCGCTAACCTGGAGGTCATGACAGTGGCTAAGTGCGTAAGACGCTGGCTCGCTAGCCTGGAGGTCGGGTGTTTGATTCCTACATTGGCCGAGAAAGTTCATCAGGATTTTCCGGAGTGGTTTCCCCTTGTCAGTGGTGCAGGAAGGCGGGCCCAACGAAAAGCCTAGGTCCCGCATATACGTTGGCTTGCATGTAAAAGATCCTCTGGCAGTTGGAATCCGATATAAGAGTAGGCGATAGTGCCACTGCCTGGCCAAAATTTCCCTCATAGCACACTGTATGTCGTATGCCCGTCTTCATTAGCCCAGTAACCGCAGAACAGTAGGATGTTAAATCCTATTTCATTTCATTTCTTAAATAAAGATCACATAAAGCTCTGTCAATTCAAGTACAGTCAACATGAAACATGGCAGACTTGTTCTTTGGACATAAATGACAAGGAGTAGGGTCGCCTGTCCAACCTCGTCGGTTTTCTCCGGGCCCTCTGGTTTCCTCCTACTGCTAAAGACACCTATGCGCAAGCAAATTATTGAAATAAAATTAAACCATGTGTTAGTCCTGAAATGACCTAGTTTGTGTCGAGTGGACGATAAACCCCATCTCTCTCTCTCTCTCTCTCTCTCTCTCTCTCTCTCTCTGTTCTTTGGACAGTTGTGCATCAATTGACAAATTTCGATTTTTGAAAGGCGCAGAAGACGTCATAGCAGTTTCATCGTTAGTATAGAAGGGAAAGCGGGGATTCATATTACATATATCCTGGTTATCATCCCATGGTTGTACGACTAGTAGGGTAGCTTCTCCAACCATTTTCCCTTTACACATTCTATTTATTGAAATTTAAATATACCCCATTTGTTACAGTCCAAAATGGGGGGGTTGGATGGCTGAATGGTTAGCACGTGCGTGCTGTATTATAAAGTCTGTCATTGAGTCAACTGGCGTGGTTTCAAATCCCCGGTTGTACGTGACAAGGAGAGATGGCACGTGAAAATTTCCAATGAGAATAATTCCACAAGAAATAGATTATATTTTGATTGAATTTTGGAGCGTGTATGATTATATTTTGAATATGGGTTATGTTTTTAAAAAAATTATGCAAACTATAAATATTTATATTGGAATACCGTAAGTAGTTTTAGACGATAGCAAAAGTTTTTGACCGTACGACCTACGAGTACGAGTGCTATTATTTAACAGACAATGTTTATTATCATTTACGTAACCAGGAATGACACCTTACATGCAGTTATTGATCTTCAGAACCATTTTCCATATACAAAAAACTAATAACTCTCCTTAATATAATAAATTTCTTTTCTTATCGAAACTGGGAGAGCTTTTTTAGGGGAGCGATTTTTTCAACATGTTCATTAAGGGGAGCTTTTTTCGGCTCTCCTCTAAAATACAAAAAACGACTGATTCTGGTTCTTAGGCACCATCTGAGATGTTTTTGAATGATTGACGTAATGTTGGTATTAATTGTATTTTTTGTAGGTGAAGTAGCTGTACCTATTGTAAGTCAGAAGAAGATGTTACTCATAGACTGTAGATCATATGGTGCAGCTTTTGCTAATAGAGCTAAAGGTGGAGGATGTGAAAGTGCAGGTACAGAATTTAAAATACACTTTTTAACCAACATAACAAATTGTTTCATGTCTGAGTATGTTGCATGGGTTGGGTGGCGGTGTTAGATCCTATGGTCAGTCCGTTGCGTGGATTCACGGCCACCTTAACAAGCTCCCGATGTGAGTTGCATCTGAGAGCTCCCGGTTGAGTGCCCGTCTTGAGAGGAGTCATGTGGCATTGTATCGATACCCAATGGTGCCTCCTTTCCAGCCTCGTTGGTTTTCTCTGGGTCCTCTGGTTTCCTACAACAGCTAAAGACCCCTATGCTCAATCGAAATATTGAAATAAAATTTGATCCGTATGTTGGTTCTGAAATGACCTAGTTTGTGTCAAGTGGATTCCAAACTTCATCTCTCTATCAAAACAAGAATGTCCCTGGTTTGAATTTCAGTAATTTTTCATGCAATCATGCCTACGACGTGGCTGACAAGGGAAATGTGCCTAGTCCTTCAGATAGGACGATAAATCGTGGTCCACCAATGGAAATATTAACATGCACATAAAAGAGCCCTTGACAGTTGGAAATTAAAGCATAGAAATGAGATTTTCCATATGTTAGTCTCAACATGATGGAAGTATTGTTTTGGTGACATTACCCCATTTGAGTTCGTTCCTAATGCCACCTATGTAAATATTAGTGTTCTGGCCTGTAATCTTGAATTTATTCGGCATGGTTCCCCCTCTCAGTGGAACAAAGTATAATCAATCAGTGGTCCTGTGTAAAAGATCCCTTGACAGTTGGAATTCGATATAAGAGTAGACCATAGTGCCGCTGCCCGGGCAAAATTTTCCTCATAGCACACTGTATGGCGTATGCCCGTCTTTATTAGCCCAGTATAGGAGCAGAACAGTAGGACATTAAACCCCATTATATTTTATCTTATTTATTGTAATCCATGTCTATATTTTTCAGATTATTATCCATGTTGTGAGATCCAGTTTATGAATCTAGCTAACATCCATACTATTAGAAAAAGTTTTATAGCTTTAAGAACATTGACCAGTACATTTACAGAACAGGCCAAGTAAGTTTAAACACACAGTTTTTTATTAAGGACCAAAAAGTCTGTATTTTCCCAGGGGATTGGATGGCTGAATGGTTAAAGATACATTATGGGAGATTCGATAAAGAGCTGGCAGTTCTCATATAAAAGTTTAAAACTAGATAATGTAAAGGTAATTTGCTGAAAATCATGAATGAAGTTCAGCAGCAAATCGGATCCTATTCCAGTAAATGTCGCAGGCTAGCAATGACAACCAGAGTTGATTATGGTCTGAATAAGTCAATTAATAATTTTGATAACATTTCAGGCCTTAAGAAAGACGTGGAATAAGCAGATTTAGCTCAGGCATAATGTATGTTTAACACGTGCACGTGGCGTGGCTTCGATTCCCTGTTTGTCATGGGTTTTCTCAGGTTCCTCACACTGCTAAAGACCCATATGCGTGAATGAATTATTAAAATAAAATTGAACCATGTGTTATTCACAAAATGACCCCATTTCCTTCTCTCACTGTAGTTTCCAAGTAGGGATGCGGGCGTTGAGTGGTCTAGTGCATGCGTTGTTGATCATAAGCTCTGTCAATGAATCAAATGGTTTTGTTAAGATCCCCATTTTGTACCTGACAAGGAGTAGGGTGGCCAGTCCAACTTCGTGGATTTTCTCTCGCGTCCAGGGGGGTTGGATGGCTGAATGGTTAGCGTGCGCGCGCTGTATCATAAAGTCTGTCATTGAGTCGACTGGCGTGGTTTCGAATCCCTGGTTGTACGTGGCAAGGAGTAGGGTCGCCTGTCCAACCTCGTGGGTTTTCTCCGGTTTCCTCCCACTGCTAAAGACCCCTACACGCAAGCGAATTATGTAAATAAAAATAAACCATATGTTAGTCCCGAAATGACCTAGTTTGTGTCGAGTGGACGTTAAACCCCATCTCTCTCTCTCTCTCTTGATTCCTCCCACTTCTTCGAAGTATTGAAATAAGATGGAACCCTAGTACTCTGTGTCGATTGGACACTACACACCCTCTCTCTACCCCCCGCCCCCCTCATCTCCCGCTCATTAAATAACATAAGACATTCTCTGACAAATAATAAAGTATCTTTAAAATGTTTTGTTTTATTGTAGTTGGTTATCAAGTTTAGAGAATACGAAATGGTTACATTATATAGGAGCTATTCTAAGAGCAGCTAATTTAGTTGTATCAGCTGTAGATCAAGAAGCTCGACCAGTATTAGTACATTGTTCTGATGGTTGGGATAGAACACCACAGATTGTTGCTCTAGCTCAACTCTTACTAGATCCTTACTATAGAAAAATTGAGGTAAATATGCATTTCATTCAACTCATTACAATCTTTTAATTTTCGACCCAGTGTTTCTTGTTCTTCCAGTAATCAACTGAATCCAACGGAAACAGGGAGTAACTTACCGAAACAAAATTCAGTAGATACCTGATAGAACTTGCGTAATCTCTCTCGATTACAATTGTCGTCAAGAATGCTAGAGTTGCTCACCGTGACGTTTCGGTGTCATGGAGTTGTTCTTGTGATTATTCTTTTTGGGGAAACAGTCATCGAAAAAAGCATAACTGTGAAAGTTGTCACTTCTAGCTATAAAATATATGTGAATTCTGCTGTAGAAGCTGATTATTTGTAACAGCCATCAACTGAATACACAAACCAACCCAATAGGGGTGTATATCACTTATGAGTGGTCATGGCTTTAGCATCTTCGTGACTAACAATCTGATTAAAATACAGATTTATATTTCGTTTCGTTTTTTTTATACTTTCGATGATCTACACTGCATGAAGATCTGATCGGTTATAGTGGAAGGTTGCGACAGAGGTCATACGAGCGGCTTTTGACCTTATGAAGTCAGACATTTGATTAACCAATCAGCGTTGATGTTTCTAGTGGGTTACCCACAGTTCCGTGCATCTCACCGTAATAGATCGTTTCATTAGCTTATCCCTCACATCAACCAGAACGCCGGTAATATAACAACTCTTCCGGATCCTAGTGTAGTAAAGACAAGTAACACAATGTTTTGAACTATAAAAAACAAAATGAAATAGGATCTGTGTTTTATTATACGCCCACATGGAAATGTGGTCGTATATTGCCGTCGCCCCCGTCCGTCGGTCCGCCCGTCCGTCCGTCCATCGTCCACAATTTCTTGTGAACACTCTACAGACTACATTTATCATCTGATTTTTTTAAATTGATATATGTTGTTTGCATTAGTGAGATGAAGAAGCCTATTTAATTTCAATAACTACCATTAATTTCTTGTGGAGTTATGGCCCTTGTTTCACTTTGTTGCACCTTGTGAACGCTCTAACGACAAAAGTTATTAACCGATCTGTATTAAATTTATATGCATCATTTAAATTAGTAAAAAAAAGAAGCCTATTAAATTTCAGTAATTTCCGTTAATTACATCTAAAGTTATGGCCCTTGTTTCACTTTGTTGAATCTTGTGAACGCTCTAATGACAACAGTTACCATCCGATCTGTTTGAAATTGATATGCATCATTTAAATTAGTGAATGGAAGAAGCCTATTGAATTCCAGCAATTTCCATTAATTACGCCGTGAGTTATGGCCCTTGTTTCACTTTGTTGTACCTTGTGAATGCTGTAATGGCAAAAGTTATTATCCGATCTGTATGAAATTTATATGCATCATTTAAATTAGTAAAACAAAGAAGCCTATTGAATTTCAGCAATTTCCGTTAATTACATCTAGAGTTATGGCCCTTGTTTCACTTTGTTGAATCTTGTGAACGCTCTAATGACAACAGTTATCATCCGATCTGTTTGAAATTGATATCCGGCATTTAAATTAGTGCAACGAAGAAGCCTATTAAATTTCAGCAATTTCCATTAATTACACTGTGAGTTATGGCCCTTGTTTCACTTTGTTGTACCTTGTGAATGCTCTAACGACAAAAGTTATTATCCGATCTGTATGTAATTTATATGTATTGTTTAAATTAGTAAAAGGAACAAGCCTATTGAGTTTCAGCAAATTTCTGTTAATTACATCTAGAGTTATGGCCCTTGTTTAACTTTGTTGAATCTTGAGAACACTTGAACAACAAAAGTTATCACCTAATCTGTATGAAATTCATATGCATCATTTGAATTAGTAAAATGAAGACGCCTATTGAATGTCAGCAATTTCCGTCAATTACTTTTAGAGTTATGGCCCTTGTTTTACTTTGTTGAACCTTGTGAACGTTTGAACGACAAAAGTTATCATCCGATCTGTATGAAATTTATATGCATTATTTGAATTAGTAAAACGAAAAAGCCTGTTGAATTTCAACAATTTCTGTAGATTACTTCCAGAGTTACGACCCTTGTTTTAGTTTTTAGAACCTTGAACCCTCAAGCGACGAAAATTATAATGTCATCTGTATGAAATTGTCTATTAAATTCCCCTAATCACCTACAAAAGAATAATTATGCGACAACCCTTGTCGACTGCTCGGACGATTTAGCTGCTGTGGGCGTATGTTTTGTTGCCTGGCAACCTATCTTAATTGATATATAATTATATGTATACGTCATGTTTTCACAGGGTTTTCAAGTATTAGTTGAAAGAGAGTGGTTTGAATTTGGACATAAGTTTGCCGATCGTTGTGGACATTCGTTAGACAGTGAAGATGGTAATGAACGATCCCCCGTGTTTTTACAATGGCTAGATTGTGTATATCAAGTATATAAACAGTTTCCTTGTGCTTTCGAATTTAACGAAGCTTATCTGGTGAGTATTTCATCTAATTCTGTTGGTCACTTGCCGAACCTCATGGCTTTTCTCTGGGAGACTGAATTATTGAAATAAAAGTGTCCAATATGTTAGTCCCGAGATGAATTAGTTTGTTTTGAGTGGACGTTAAACCCCATTTCCATTCCCCAGAAATTGGTAGTGTACATAAAAGATCCCTTGACAAGTAGTGCACGTAAAAGATCCCTTGATAATTGGTAGTGTTCGTAAAAGATCCCTTCACATGTAGTGTACATAAAAGATCTCTTGACAATTGGTTGTGTACGTAAAAGATCCCTTGATAATTGGTATTGTTTGTAAAAGATCCCTTAACATGTAGTGTACGTAAAAGATCCCATGACACATAGTGTATGTAAAAGATCCCTTAGAATACGAATAAGAGTTGGTGGAAAGTAGATTGTAATGACAGGTCACATGGAAAGGTTATTTAGTGTGTCTTGAACCAGTGACTGGTCCCTACAGATCTCTATTGATGAATACAACCACCCCTTTCTGTGAACATTGCTATTATAGGTCCTTGGGTCGCACAGAAAGTTAAAGGAGTGTGTCACCCTCCCCCACAGTAGTCAAAACTTTACATGTACTTATTGCTAGTCTTAATCACCACCGGGTCTCACAGAAAGTTTATTTTATGAGAATTTGAAAATGAAAATGAAATGGGGTTTAACGTCCTACTGTTCTGCTCCGAACTGGGCTAATGAAGACAGGCATACGCCATACATTCTACTATGAGGGAAATTGTGCCTGGACAGCGGCACTACGGCCTACTCTTATATCGAATTTCAACTCTCAAGGGATCTTTTATGTGCACGCCAATGTGTACACGGGACCTTGGTTTCCATCCCATCCAAAGGACTAGACAGCTGTCCTTGTCAGGCCCTCTGTCTTGTATCACTGACAAGGGGGAACCATGCACGACATGGTGAAGAGATTGAGAAGACTTCATAACAATTTTAATTTTAATGAAATGTTGGTTTTTTTTTCAGGTCAAATTGGTCCATCATACTTATTCTAGATTGTTTGGTAATTTCTTATTTAACACCAATAGAGAAAGAGTTAAAGAAAATCTTTCTAAAAGAACAACTTCGGTGTGGACATTACTTCATCCTAGAAATACAAAATTCCATAATTTACTCTACAATAATAAAGAAAATTCGGAGTCTCAACAGGTGAAAATATAGATTTTATAATAATAAAAATAAAGACAACAGTTCTATGAATAACAATTACTGTATTTCTATTAAAGCTACGTTTCAACAATGATTCTCTTGTCGTTATCAAGCACAGTATTGTTGAAACGTAGCTTTAATAGAAATACAGTAATTGTTATCCATAGAACTCTTTATTTTAATGTGTTCAATTACTAAATGCCATCCAAACAGTATTTTATAATGTCTGTCAAATGTAGAGGATTGTTTCAAGGGCATTTAGTAATTGAACTGGAATATACAGGTGACATTTCTATGGAATACAATTACTGCTTATTACTGAGCTGTGTTTCCACTAGGCTTCTCTAGTCATTATCAAGCTATGATGAAATATTACAGGACAATATATATCTGTAGACAACAATACTTGGTTAATACTGACTGACCAACCAGAGATACCCTCCTAATTACCTTGAAGGGAATATTATTTTTAAAAGGCATTATGCAAGAGCTAAATCGACCTATTACAGGTCTTTCTTTAGGCCTTAAATGTTATATAAATTATTGGGGGGTTGGATGGCAGAATGGTTAGCATGTGCGTGCTGTATCATAAGGTCGTTCATTGAGTCAACTGGCATGGTTTCGATTCCCTAGTTGTACGTGAGAAAGAGTAGGGTCACCTATCCAACCTCATAGGTTTTCTCCAAGTCCTCCGGTTTTCTCCCACTGCTAAAGACCACTACGCGCAAGCAAATTATTGAAATAAAATTGAACTCTATGTTAGCCCTGAAATGACCTAGTTTGTGTTGCGTGGACTTTAACCCCATCCCACTCTCTCTCTCTGCCCCACCCCCCCTTGCCGACTTTACCATATTTGGTATTCACATTTATTTGTTATCTGATTATTTATTTACAGATTCTGTATCCAGATTTTAGTATGAACAACTTATCGTTATGGCGATCGGTCTATTTATCCAATAGTTCTCTTTCTACTAATACGACCGAAGATATCTCTAACCCGCTAGAGACAGGGGAAATAACTCCAGATATTGAATCCATGTGCTTACAGAAAACCCGATCATGTGAAAACCTGGCTAAATTACAAGACCACGCTCCGTTAGTTACGCGGAGATTGAGTGATCCCAATATCCTCCACGGCTCCCAGGAACAAATCGTCGCAGCTTGTAAGGACCTTGATTCTAGTCCAAAACATGTGGAAAATGAAAGTAGCTGTGTTAATGATCAAGCTATTATTAGTAACGGAGTTGTTACGAATGGTGTTAATGGTATCGATAGTGATAAGGAAAACTCTGACAGTGAAGAAAATACTGTCACAGTGTCAGATAGCAACGATAATATTGTAAATGAAATACAGGAAAATGGTGACGGGAAAGGGAAGGAAGTTGAAAAGGAGGCTCAAGATGAGATCGCAGACGAGGCTCAGGAGGAAGAGGAGGAGATCAAAGATGAGGGGGAGGGTGTAATAAACGAGGACGAGCCAGTTGACGAATTGTGTAGGAATACCACAAACTTTAACGGACATAGTAATCACCAACTGACTAACGGCCATGCAACCTTGAAGGAGATTCAAGCTAAAAATCTAGTTAACGGACACAGTGATTCTAGTTTACGAGACCGAAAACCTCTACAAAAATCTGTGGAAAGTTCAACTGATACGATTACGGGGGACGAATATTTCGAGAGAAAGTTAGACGATAATGTACCGAATGGTGTTACAAATGGTCTATCAAATGGCCACACTAACGGTTATAGTAATGGCCACGCGATGTACGATGAAATAGGAAAACTAGCCGATAGCCATCAGTATTTGATAAAAACAAACAGTTCACGGCCAATCTCTTCGATGAGTACAAGTACTAGTGATATAAGCGATTCCCATGTCGGTTCGTCTAAAAGTGAATGGGATTCGAAAGTAAGCGACCTTAAACTTTCAAGCCAGTGTTTTGGTTCGAATCGTCCTCCATATAAGTTAAATTGTTCTGCAGGATATCCGTACTCTAAGCCAAACATAAACAGTGCTAGTCCCTCCCCTTCTTCCTCTTCACCGTATCCGACACCATTTTATTCTCGTACCCCGAACTCAACGTGTCCTCCAACTCCGGAGATTCAATCCAAGGTATGTATAATAATCTAAATTAGTTATATAAAGATACATTATGGGAGATCAGATAAAGAGCTGGCAGTTCTTACTATAAATTATAGTTAAAAACTAGATAATGTAAAGGCAATTTGCTGAAAATTTCAGTCAAATTGATGTACTCTGGACCAAGATTTTAGCGATTGTATTTTCGGCCTAGCCTCGATCATCATTACTAAAGTCGGTGCGATGAAAAACATAGTCTCGATTATCCATTTCATGATTTAATTACGAATGGAAGTCGAACAGCAAATCGCAACCTAATGCAATAAACATCGCAGCCTAGCTATGCCATCAGAGTTGATTATGGTTTGGATAAGTTAATTAATGTCTAATTAATAATCTAGATAACATTTCAGGCCTAAATAAAGAACTGCAATAGGCAGATTTAGCTCTTGAATAATCTATGTTTAAAGTCATTGGAATCTATATGTGGCTAGGGGTGTTAGGTGGTTTATTTCCCACTTGTACAGGAGAAGGAATAAGGTAGCCTGTCCAACCTCATTAATTATTGAAATAAAATTGAACCATATGTTAGTCCTGAAATGACCTAGTTTGTGTCAAGTGGACGTTAAATGCCATTTATCTCTCCCCGATATGTGGCTGATGACCTGAAGACAGCTCTCCTGACTTTGAAAATGTGAAAAATCATTATCCTGAAAAAGTTAGGGGGGGGGAGGGGTGTGGATGGCGGAATGGTTAGCACATGCGCGCTGTATCATACGGTCTGTCATTGAGTCAACCGGCTGGGTTTCGATTCCCCGGTTGTACGTGACAAGTACCAATTATTCTTTAGTTGATGATCCATTCACTTGATTTGATATTTGTTGTTTATTGCTTACAATGTCTGTGTAATTTGTATCATGTCCGCTGGTTTGTCTTGATGGTTTTCTTTGTGTGTAGCAGTCATTATTTTTTAAGGCGAGCGATCGCTCTTGAGCACCTGCTGCTCACCTGAATGTCGACCGAGGGGACTTTTTTTCCCCTCCCCTTAAAATTGAAAATTGCTCTCCTTTACAAAGTCATTGGGTGTTTATTATCTTTATGAAACCAGGAATGACCCCCTAACATGCAGTTATTGATCTTCAGAACCATTTCCCATACACACAACTAATCACTCTCCTTAATTTCTAAATCACTCTTCTTATCGAAACGGGGAGAGCTTTTTGAGGGGAGCGATTCTTTCAATTTGTTGATTGAGGTGAGCATTTTTTGGCTCTCCTCTGAAATACAAACAACAGCGACTGGTGTAGTGTTGTCCTCCTGTACTTATTATTAGAGAAGGACTGCTACAGTTGCTATTCCAAGTCATTCTTAAATCAATCGTTCATGTCAATGTGAGAATTTCCACCAAACATTTGATTTCTCCTTCGTCGGTCGAGTGTATGAAAACAGTTCCTGTTTTCTTGAGATATGCTTCACATATCAAACTCCTTTGAATGAACATGGTGGTTAGTCCCGCTGTAATAGGGGAAGAAAGGATTTATTGTTTATTAAGTATGAGCGTGATACCAAATCCTAAACTTTGAAGACAAAAAACGTAGCAAAATTTGACTAAAACTTCAATGCCTTGTCTTCAATGCATGGGGATAATAAATTTAATATAAGAGATAAGGTGGCTATGAAGACCTGGTTATCCCGAATGTCAGTGATTAGTTTTGTTCATATTGAACTCTTCAGACTGATTGGACTCACGTGGCAGTCGTTTATATTTATACTATTCCGAAACCCTGGTGGGGTTTCCATGGTTACTAATTGGCGGGGTTACCGGGGTTAGCCCCTTGGCGGGGTTTGCGAATTTGTTACCGGGGTCGGTAGCTCGCTTACCGGGGTTGTACAGAGGTTTGACAAATTGGCGGAGTTCCGAATTTGTCACCGGGGTCGCTAGCTCACTTACTATAATTTTGCTAACTAGGATGCCTTTGGTTGGTTTGTAACATTGTTACTTGTCATAACAATGAAGGGATAGTATATGGACATATAACACCCGTGAGAGGGGTATAAGGCTAAATATAAATCCAGAGTTGGAACACACGGGGGGAAGAGCATTGTAAAACAAAAATAAAAATGGTTGGAGTGCCCTTGTTTAGATTTGTCGTTGATTCCATACGTTGAGAGATATGTAGTATCAAACTGGTCCAGAGCCGATCTTGTTGATAAGAAGCGGCTTATTTGACATTGACACATTACCGAAGGTGAACAGGCCTACGTGTCCAGTTAATTCAACGGACAATCTCACATCGGTCCACAAAAGAGAGACACATACTAGTCGCCTCCTACTTCCGATTTCCAAGGCATTTTAGTCCAAACTTAGACTCTCATACAAATAAACCATTTGGTACTATTTCGTACCTATATTATATTAAACCCCTCGGGCGCCGTGTCGAATTACACAGTATTAATCGTTCTAAAACCTAACTACTTTATTGAATCAACGACAAATCTAAACTTGGGCACTCCAACCATTTATATTTTTGTTTCACGACAATAAATTTACCTTTGTTCAAGTCAAAATTGTTTGTTTTATTGTTTAAAAAGAAACTGGTAACAATACCAAATTAAATCTTAATCATTAAAAAACATTGATAAATTCTTTTATTATGAGACAGTTGTGTTATCTCATTAAAACACAGATCCTATTTCGTTTGGTTTCTTATACATGTAGTTCAAAATTTACTTGTCTTTACTACACTAGGATCTGAAAGAGTTGTTATATACAATGTAACCAGCATTCTGGTTGATGTGAGGGAGTAGCGTGCTGTGCACGGAACTATGAGTAAACCACTAGAAACATCAACAATGATTGATTAATCAATGTCTGACGTCATGTGACTCCTGACAGAACGAAATATAGATCTTTATATGAATCAGATTGCAAGTTATGTCATTCTATGAATGAATGGTGGGAAATAACACGGAAGATTTTCTTGTATTTTAGTCATGTGATTGGCAGATCAATCGTCAATTAAATGGTGTCGGACGTCATCTTGATTGTGACGGACTAACAACGTTTATTGACCCGATTCAACAGAGGATGCAACAAAAGGAAGCTGATTATAAGAAAGTTATAGAAGATTTACGAATGAAAGTTTGTTCGTTACAGAAACAATTATGTTGTAATGGTATCCAGAGACTGGATAATCGAGATGATTTGGTAAGTAAAAATCTCGTTACATGTAAATATTGACTACACTAAGTGATATATTAAACATACATTAGTTAAGAGTTTAATAAAGAATTCATCATTCTTGCTATAATAATTCAAAAATAGATGATAAAAAAAAAAGAAAATATTGAAAATTTTATTCAAATTACTTCATCCTGAGTCAAATTATCACTGTTTGTAGTTTTGACAAGATGTGTGCTATAGTGGTAACCAGGGTACTTGTATATTCGCGACTTAACCTCGCTTTCTCATTTTTAAATTAAAATTTTAAATGGCAAACTGTTCTAATCTAGTTAAAATCTTGGGTATCCGATGCCATCGAGAGTTGATTATGGTCTAATAATTTATATAACATTTCAGGCCTGAAGAAAAACCTACAATAGGCAGATTTAGCTCTTGCATACCCCCTTCTCTCGCAATCATGACAATTATGTATCCCATTCTCTCGCAGTCATGACAATTACATATCCCCTTCTCTCACAGTCATGACAATTGTGTACCCCCTGCCCCTACAGCCATGACAATTATAATACCTGTTTGTTTTCCTTCGTTTGTTGTAGATGGCATTACCTGAAGATTATGATGGTGATCATTGTTCCCTAGGTAATATTAGTAATCCAGCATCAGATGTTAGTTGGGAGAATCTAGATTATAAAGAATCACCTATGATAATGTGGATACCGGATCATGCCGTTACACATTGCGCATGTTGTCAATCTCAGTTCTGGACAGCTAAACGAAAACATCATTGTAGGTAAGTCTTGTCAGATAGGTGAAATCGTACTGACAGATAATGCACAGCGGCTGGCAAGCATTATCTTTGGTTTTATTGGATGGTATTGGGCAGTGTTGGGTAGTATTGGGTTTTATTGGATAGTATTGGGTTCATCGGCCTATCCCATGCTTATATTTTAGATCTTTGTACCCTGGCTTGCTGTTGAATCACCAATGAATTAGACATATTTTCCAGGTGAACCACGATGGTTTCATGCTGGCTCAGATTTTCCAGCACGGTCCCCTCTTGTCAGTGGTGCAGGTCGGAGGGCCTGTTATGGAACAGTACTGGATGGTACAAAAAAAAACCCCGGAGGTCCTGTGATAGTTGGAATTCTAAATAAGAGTGGGCCGTAGCGCTGCTATGTGTCAAAATATCCCTGATGGCACACTGCAATCTGATTAAAATACAGATCTTTATTTCGTTTGTTTTTTTTATACTTTCAATGGCCTACACTACATGAAGATCTGACCAGTCATAGCGATAGGTCACGTCAGGGGTCGTACGAGCGACTTTTGACCCTATGATGTCAGACATTGATTAATCAATCAGCGTTGACGTTTCTAGTGGTTTATCCACAGTTCCGTGCATGGCACGTCAAGAAGTTGCAGTAACAGACCGTTTCATTGGCATATCCTTCACTTCAACTCTCTTTCCATTTTTTTTGTTTGAAAGTCAGGTGTATATTGGTAAAAGGAATGATTTATTATATATATATATATATATTTTCAGGTCATGTGGTAAAATTTATTGTGCTGATTGTTCCAATTATTTTGCACCAGTTCCACATCAACATCTAAAGGAATCCGTACGGGTGTGTCAATCATGTCATGATTTACTCCAACCCCAGTTCCCCGATATAATCGATGATCGACAGCCTCAGATGATTATAGAATAGTTTAATACATGGACATTGTCTTATTTCACAGCTCATTGTTAATTCCTACTCGTCGTGGGGGGTTGGGGCGGGATGGGGGGCGGGTTATAGTTATTTTTGATTACTTTGTGAATCTTATTTCCGTTACTAACAGTCAATTGAACGTTTAAGAGTGTCATAAATCTCCACATAATTAACGTCAGGAATTGATTTTCTAATTTGAAGAGAAATAAAGTTAGTAATATCTGAATTTAAAAGGGACTTGATTCGTATTCCCTTTAGAGAAACACAACACCCTTAGTTGTTCGGACCACGTCATTCGGCAGTATATCAATTTATAATGCTTTGTAGCGGTATGTTATAGTCTCTGATTGTCAAGCCCTTGTAAACGACGATATTGTAAATGTTAAATCTCGAAAAGAAAAATATCGGTCCAATTCCGGGGAGAATCTACAAAGATATGATGAATTCAAAATTAGATTGTAGCATGGATTAGTTCGTGAAAAATGGAAATGACGACCAGTGAGACTCTGATTTATAAAATCTACATTAAAGATACATTATGTAAGATTTAGATAAAGAGCTCACAGTTCTCACTATAATAGTTTAAAAATAGGTAATTAAAAATGAAAATGTTGAAAATTTCAATCAAATTAATTTATACTGGGTGAAGTTATCAGTCTTTAAAGTTTTCACAATATAGTCTCAATTGTCAAGTACCATTGGTACGATATTAAACAAAGTCTTGATTATTCATTTTATCGCTAAATTATTAAATGGCGATCATCTTTCAATCCATTGAAAATCTTGACCATCCAATGATCTAGAGAGTTGGTCATGGGCTTATCGTGTGAATAAATATCGAAATAATGATTTACATAACATTTCAGGCCTAAAGAAAGATCTGCATAGACAGATATAGCTCTTACATAATGTATGTTTAATAAATGACCATTTATCATTTTTGGAATACTTGAACGTAACTTACTGCCTAAACTTAAGATGTGTTAAATTTTGTGTTATTTGAGTTTTTATTGTCATTGGTCTATAAACCAATCCCAGAGTTCACAAAGCATTCTCAGACTTAAGAATTTACTAAACTTTCATTCACTGTTTATGAGAAATATCATTGATCCAGAAACGCAAAACTTTGCACATAGTTTCTTATTGATGTATTTGATACATTAAAACAACAGAAGTTTTCGTAAGGGCCATATTTTAGTTAACTTATGTCTGGATGCTTTGTCAACTCGGGGCCCGATCTCAGAGATTTTAGAACAAGTCTGGTTTATTATTATTTCATCTTTGCGTCAAATTAAAATTAGAAAATCAATTGTAAAAATATAAAACCATTTAAATATATTTAGATATCATAATTAGCATACAAATTTTGTAAAAAGCCGAACATGACTTTTTCTTGAAATGAAAACAATTGAGTCATTGGATCAGTTTTGAGAAGAAGGGAATATCGTATTCCAGCATATAAGAACCTGTGCTCCAGCCGAATCGCTGTGTAATAATTTGATACGTGCAGTTGTTAACTGTTATGTTAAGTTCCCACTATCACAATTGGTGCTATGATTAAAATCATGGTTTTAATCGCGGAGTAATGGTGGTGATCCTATCAGGTCTTATCATATATTTAGGTCAGTCTTAGTAATTGTATTGATGGTATCTGAACTTGGACTCAGAAGGGACGATCCTATGGTAACGCATCACACGATACTGGGAACCTAGCATTATTGTCCACCATGATGTGCGTTTTATTTCTCAGTAATTTCTGTTTGGAAAAACAAAAGATCACAAGGAGTTAAAAAATCAAACTGCTATAAGTCATTGAACGAGGCCCATAATTTTATATAATGATGAATCAAGGAGTATTGGTTTATTAGATTATAAACAGATACTATCAATATACATACAAGCGTCAAGTTAAAGTAAACACTGCCCAGGTCATTTTACCCAAGACAAGGACGGAGGGCCTGACAAGGACAGCTGTCTAGTCCTTCGGATGATACGAAAAACCAAGGTCCTGTGTATACATTGGAATGCACGTAAAAGATCCCTTGGCAGTTCGAATTCGATATAAGAGTAGGCGATAGTGCCGCTGCCCGGGCAAAATTTCCCTCATAGCACACTGTATGGCATATGCCTGTCTTCATTAGCCTAGCATAGGAGCAGAACATTTCATTTCATTTCTACAGAAATTATATTTGAAGCCTCGATTGCATTCTTTTTGATAAACTGAACAAATTTGGATTTTCTCTCGTTAGATGTCTCACCAAAGCTTAAAACACAACCATAAGATAAAATCAGATGATTGATTGATTATGTTCACGGTATATATTGTACCAGGAACTCGTTCCTAAGCACTACTCATCTTGTTCCTGTTGTTCTTAGGAACGACCCTCTGTTAAAAAAGCCTAAAGCTCCGCCAATTCCTTGATCTGACCCCACAATTCTAAGATTGCAGGGATGCCATCATACCTGGTTCCTGGTCCATATAGTACCCTCATACTTGTTTGTAAAAATAGGGGAGTGGATGACCGAATGGACATCTCCATATCTCTCTCTCTCTGTTTGTAAAAATGACAGACAGTATTTGCTTTAGCTTGACAAATTATTCATTTTAAAAGGTCGTTATTTAATTCTAGTATTTCTGGGGTTGAATATTTTTATTGGGTCATTTTTTGTTAAATGTGTGGAGTCTTATGTTCGTTGGTTTTTTGGTAACCGATTTATTTGTCTAAATTTGGAAGGAAAATTAAATGTATAGTATATTATTTATTTATATAATTTTTGTTTCTTGTCCGTTACCATGGAAACTATTTTATGATCCAAACAGAATGAATTTAATTTGTTGTTTTATATATTTATTTAACTGTGATGAGAGGGACAGGATGAGAAAGAATCATCTTCAAACTTTCTTGTTGATTTGTTTCTTCTATATCATCTTCACAAGCCAGGATACAGACATTTTTCTTTGGACAGTTATTGTATTTGTTAGCATTCCCTTTGAACGATTGAAACACCGATCAGGATCTAATTTTCGATCGTTTGATCAAACTCCTCAATGTTTGCTTCAAGCACTTGATGTTGGCCATCCATTATGCCTCCATCAGACCGGGGTGGCGTCATTACTGCACTGTTGCGACCATACGGCGACTAGAAAATGTACAAGGTCGTCGCCAAACGTGAACAGAACACAAGAAAATGGCCCCCAAAATTACCTACTAGAAAAAATTGTGTTCTTACTGCGACCTGTGCGATAATACCATGTTCTCATGACGTGCCCGTCACAAGAATACTATGAGACATAAAACTGTTATAGCACATAAACCAACATGTCATCAGAATTTTTGTAGCGCTATGAGCATATACTTAGTGTATGGAGTTTAGCGCGTTAAAAGTGCACTATTTATTTATTATTTATTATTCTATTGAGATGTATTGGCTTGGCATGGTCGGCATAGGAGAGTAATGCATAAATGCAGTATGAACCCCATTAGATCGCCCTAGGTGCACTGGTAGCCCTATGAGTATGTGGTGTAATTGCACAACAGTGGTCAAGTCATCGTAACATCGCTTTGACAACGCCATAAGGACTACGATTGGTGGGGTTGTGACAGACATGTGAGGGTCGTGGTGAAGGTGCCATGAAGTCGCTGTTGCAAATGTTACAACAGTGGTCAAATCATCGTAACATCGCTTTGACAACGCCATAAGGACTCCGATTGGTTGGTGGGGTTGTGACAGACAAGTGAGGGTCGTGGTGAAGGCGCCATGAAGTCACTGTTGCAAATATTACAATTTTCGCAGCGTCTTTGCCATCTGTGTACTGCGCGTGTATTACATTCATAGAGATGTTACCACACTTGTCTCTTTACCCTTTCCCCACCCCACAGCCTTCCAGGTCAGATCGCAAAATCTTGGCGTTTGTTGTGAACATGACTCAGCGATCATTGGCGACCATGGAGACTGCTTCACGATATCTGGCATTTCCACCATGCTTATGGCGATCTTGACCATTTTCCTTCGCCGTAGCAGCGCAGTAAGGATGCCACCCCGGTCTGACAGGAGTATTACTCAACGGAGTGTTTTAGTGCTGAAACAATGTCTGTGTTCTGGTGGGTGAAGATGACTTTACTTTTTGATGATTTGGTGAAATGATTGAAGAACTTAATGTTTGCTTGAAAACCCTTGATGTGGGCCATTGCCAACATTTAACTAAAGCCATGTATTGTCTGTGTTCTGGTGTGTGAAGATGAATCTATATTATATGATGTATATATTTGTAACAGTCACAAAACGACTGTCATGATTGTAATATTTTGTTTTAACAGATGCAATTACTCACATGTTAAAAGGTCATGACCTCTTGATTTGAGTGAAAAATGAAATTATTGATTTGGTCATTTTGTTGAACGGGATGAAGCCAGTAACACCAAAATATTTCTTAATAAAGTACTTTTGATTGTGTATGGTCTTTATCTCTATGGCGATACTCGATTGTGTATGGTCTTTATCCCTATGACGATATTCGATTGTGTATGGTCTTTATCTCTATGGCGATACTCAATTGTGTATGTATGGTCTTTATCTCTGTGGCGATACTGGATTGTGTATGGTCTTTATCTCTGTGGCGATACTTGATTGTGTATGGTCTTTGTCTCTATGGCGATACTTGATTGTGTATGGTCTTTGCCTCTATGGCGATACTCAATTGAATGTCCTGGAATAGTGACAATCAGTAAATTTCAGGCTACGGCACATAAAATAACTCGACCAATCACAAGAGCTGAAACATGTTTGCTGTGTTTTATTAGGCAACGATTCTACTCGATCCACCTCCGTTGTGCGGACCAAAAGAATTCTATGTCACTTGATTGTAATTCTGTCAGTGTTCTGGCCTAACAATCGAGCTTCCCCCATATTTAACTTTTACTCTAGCATGTCAAAGCTTTTTGAAGTCAAAATCAAAACCAAAATTGATAAACTGACTGTTTTGTATCGGCTATCGTTTCGATCCTTAGCATTGGTTTTCTCTGGATCCTCCC